GCATTTCTATGCATAAAACGATGGTAGAGATTGGAAATCAGTCATAGCCGGGATTAAAACAGTTCGACCACGAAGGGACTCGAACCCCCAATCTTCTGATCCGAAGTCAGACGCCTTATCCATTAGGCCACGCGGTCTCCTCGTAGCGCCAACTCTACCGGGATACCTATTTGGTGACACCACATGCGCTCACGGTAACAACCCCCACCGCTGCAACTGGATCAGCCTTCGCGGCGCCCCTGACTTACTTTTCGGTTCACTGAACGCCATCTGCTCCGAGGCGGACTGCGCGCACAGCCCCTCCAAGCTGCGGCATCCGGCTCACTCTCTGGAGGTCGCAGTGCATTGTGACTGCGTGGTCTAATGTGTAAGTCGTCTGACTTCTGACCAATAGGGTCTGGGTTCAAGTTCCTTCTTAAAGTCCTTTTGGGCGTATGTCCGTGCCCCGGCTCGGTAGCGGGTTCGTCCTTCTCTGCGTTCGCGGATGCTTGGCTCCCTCTGCCGTTCGATGCACGCCCCCTTTCCTTGGAACAGCGCCCCCTACTCACAGCGCGTCACTGCCAAGTCGCCTCGGCCAGGGCTCTAGCTCTTCGCGTAGTTCAGTAGAGACACGGCGTCCGGCCAGGGATCTACCCGGTTGTCCCTCTGGCTTCTTGAGACTTGGATCTTAGTCCTATGGTGGAACCGTTTTGGGCACGTGGGTCCGCGCGCGATAGCACCGAGCACGTGAAAACATTGCCTTGTTGCGCCCCAGTGGCCTAATGGATAAGGCACTGGCCTCCTAAGCCAGGGATTGTGGGTTCGAGTCCCACCTGGGGTGGCGTAGTCGTTTGTGATCTCTTTTGGTTCCTTAAATAGGGATACCTCCCGACGCCACCTGCTTCCCTGCACGTCCCTTCCCTGCTTGTGGCTCACTCTTCCTGTCTCCGACCGCCCTGTCTTGGGAGGTTCTCTGTGCTCAGAGCTTTATTGATCTCTGGCTTCCGGCTTAGTGAGGTCGGCGTCTGTTATGACCTCGGGTCTTGGGGTTTCTCCGCTCGCTGGATGTAATTCTCCAGGGGAAGCCTGCCTGCACGCTAAAATCTCTGAGCTGTGCAAAAGTTCGTGCATAATCCCCAGCAAAAGCGTTCGTTAAACAGACTCACTTAACTGTTGTGTTCCTTCGCTCTACTATTAGATTATTTTTCAATGCGGGGTGGCAGGGACCTCCCTCATAGGTGCGTGGCAATCAAACCGTAAATTAGGGTCGAAACAGACTCTCTCAAAGTGGGAAGTTCAAAAATGCTCATCTTTACCCCAGGTGGGACTCGAACCCACAATCCCTGGCTTAGGAGGCCAGTGCCTTATCCATTAGGCCACTGGGGCCCGCGGCTCAAGGCTCCGGCATCTTCTCCTCTCATAGGTGGCAGGGCTGGAGCTACAGGGGACGATTTCAGGAGGACGTACGTTCTCGAGCAGGTTCCATCCGCCGTCCGCCGGGTGCGGCGCGGTGAGTGCACACGGATATTGCTCCGCGCCGGTCGCGCACAGCCTTCTGCCTGGTGGGAAGACACTGCGGTGGGAGGTGAACCGACCGCACGGAGGAGTGACCGGCGCCAAACTCCAGTCACTCGCTGGGGACGCACAGTGGCGCCTAGGCGGCCAGCTGTGAGGCTCTCTGCGCGCCTGGACCTTGGGGTGTAAGACTGCGTTGGGGGGCATTTCCTCCTACCACCCTGAGCCATCTTGTCCACCGCTAAAGAACTGTTAGAAAATCCAGGGAGTTGATGAAAACGTAGTGTGGGAAGCGAATGAGAACACCACGTAGCAACTGCGAAAACTGAGACATAAACGCTGAACCCCTCCCTCATCAGGAAAGAAAAAAACAACCGGAGGAACAAGCGTTCCAGTCGTAACAGCAGAGCTGCGCTGAGCATTATGTGACAAGTCTTAACATACAGAAAGACGGCCAAAGAGAGCCTTCACTCTAATATTTCTTTCCATTAAAAATGTTCGTCAAAAAATAATAAACGAACACACTTAAATCCATTATTGGGACCAGCAGGTGGTGGTTAAGGCGCTGGACACTCCCACAGGGGTATAAGTGGAGTCCTGGACCTGGTGGCTTGCTTTCTCACTTTCCCTCTCCCTCTCCTTCTCTCTCTCTAGTCAAATTAAAAAATAAGTGAATGAATAAATAAAATTAAGCAAATAATTCTTTAAAAAAATAAAATCCATGATTAAAATCCGTACACATCTTAGGGCCACCAAGTGGCGTGGTGGACTCCCACATAGCCAACTGAGGTTCAGGTCCCGGACCTGGCGGCTTGCTTTCTTACTTTCCCTCTCTCTCTCACTCTGTTCCTCTCTGGTCAAATTAAATAAGTAGGTAAATGAAATTAAATAATTCTTAAAAAAAAAAATCCATGCACATCTCAAAGGTGTAAGCACAGGAGCTCCGGTCAGAGGCGGCGTTTATCCGTTGTGTCTGCTTTGAGACCTTGCCTGTCTGCCGCAGAGTCACAGGTAAGGGGACTTGGAGACATTCTTTGTTTTTCTCTCCCAAAGGTAGCAGCTGTAGAAACCTTCCTCTTTCCTCCCCTCACCAGCAAGAAGGAAGACTTTAGCCCACCTGGCTCCCATCCACTGCCCCAGCCATGGACTCCGTGAGTTAATTACTGTGTCCATCTTTCAAGGTCGCAGCCGCGTGGTGGTTAAGGACGGGGGACTCCCACGTGCACTGCCCTCCTGGGTCCACCCACAGGGGTGCCCTGTCTGCCTCCATCTACCTGAGTATCCCCAGGCTCCCCAGCTGCTCTGGGCCATTCCCAAGACACCATTTCCCCCCTCGGTCCTGGCTCTCCTGTGCCCACCTGGCCCCCAGCGCTGGGGCTCCGTTCCCTGTCCTGGCATCGCTCCTGGGCTCTCCTGCTCAGGACCACAAAGCCGGCTCCTCCCAGTCAGGACTTCGTGTCCACAGCACACAGCAGGGCCCCTGCCATGCCCTGTCCTGCTCCTGCACCACCAGGCGGCTTTCTCCCGTCTCCCCAGCATCTAGTATTCCTCTCCCTTCCTGGTGCCACTGACTGGTCCCAGCGTGGGTCCTTGGCTGCTCACAGGGTCAGCGGGCCAGCCGTGCCCACTTTCCTGTCACGGGCAGATCAGCCTCCCCGCAGCCTCTCCACAGAGGCAGCAGCTATGTGGTTTGGCAGACCTGGCTCCCAGTGTGGCAGACTCTCTCAGCTCCTGGTCCCCAGGTTCAGCCGATCTGGGCTACTAATCACGGCTAACAGTCCCTGAGCGCTAGCTCCAACCAAACCCACACACTCATTCATTCCAACCTAACAGTAACCCTATGAGCTGGGGCGGTTAACATCATCCGGTTACAGGAGGGTCAGAGAGGTTAAGTCATTTGCCCAAGGTGCCACAGCCCAGGAGGTAGAGAAGTTGCTGCGTCAGAGCCCATTCTGTCAACCATGAGGGTTCAGTCCCAGAGCAGGCAGGGCTGGAGTGGTCCCCCCACTGGGGCCTGCAAGGGACAGGCTCTTCCCATGCTCACCTGGCCAGCTCCCTGTCCTGGGCCATCTCGAGCACCTCACGAATGTCTCTGACCCCCCAGCTGGAGCGAGTCGCTCCCTGGCCTCCCACGATCTACTGAGACCATTCTTACATCATTTACCATGGAGCAGGAGCCCATTTTCCTTCTCATTTAGAGAAAGTAGTTTTTTTTCAATTGTAGGACAGGAAATGTTGTAAAGGTTAAAGCAGTTGGATCCCCCATGGCTGACTACACGCCTCCTTGTCCAGACCCGATGGCCTGAAAATCGCACCAGGTGTGTGCGTGCATGCCCAAAGTCCCTAGGGGAGAGTGGCGAAGGGATTGTAGTGTGGCCATCCTTGGTGGGGCGGGTGCGTTCTTTTTCCAGCCCTCTGTTTCTCTCCACATGTGACCTATAGCAAGACATCAGCTTTGGAATTCGCTGGGGACAGAAGGAAGACTGAGTCTATAGTAAGCGATAGGCCACGTGGGCCCTCCCAGACAGAGCCGGCACGGCCACCCCAGGGGGATGTCCACACCCAATCCCCCCTCCTCCACTGTCCTCAGTGTGGGATTCAGCACCTCCACCACCACACCTGGCGGGCTCTTCTGCTTGGCTTTTACAGTCTCCTGATGAAACGTCCCCTCTCTGGGAAGAAGGACTCTGTTTTGTTCGATGCAGACTCTGCACCATCTCATCCAGTGTGTGGCGTTCAGGCACTGTTTGTTGAATTCCTGAGCGAAATGATCAAAGCAACCTCCAGGGCCTCAGCCCCTCCCAAGAGCGGAGTCCCTCAAGGACAGGTGCTGTGTCCCCACATCCCTGTGCTTGAGGGCCCCACTCACAAAGCGCTGGACCTCTAAGTTCTTCACTTACGTTCATGGCACTACAGCGGGGTGTGTGAGAATGAGAGCTAAACGACACAGGGTCTAAGGAGTTCCCAGATGCCAGGGTGATGCCAGCCCAGCGCCTCTCTCCCCACCTACTGGGCTGCAACAAGCTCTCCCAGCCTCTGCAAGCCATTCACCCAGCACCCAACACTCCTTCCCACTCGAGAGCCTTAGGACTCCAGCCTGTTACCCACGTTGCTGCAAATGTAAACGCCTCACATTGAGTTTGCAGCCCTGCTCTCTCTGCATGGAGCCTGACCTCTCTCAGCTCGCCTCTTGTGACGCCCTGAGCAAACCCACCATTCAGCGCCAGCCTGCCTGGCACCCTCTGACTGGCCTCTTCACCACCTCCTGTATTTGTACCGTTCCCCCACAAATGGCACGCCCCTCCCCTTTTCCCCCACGGCCCAGCTCACACGGCAGGACCATCTCAGCCCTCCCACCCACGGTGTGCTCCCTGAGGGTAGACACTGACACGCCTTCCGGTTCCCCTGCGGTGTGAGTGCTCAGTGTCCAGTCAGCTGGGAGGCAGACTTCAAATGGAGAAAGGCAGGGATTCCTCTCTGAAGCGTCCTGAACGAGAACAGAAGCCTGCTGGGGTTTCCGATTTTACTCAGCCCTCAGATGAATAATGAAGCTTTGCCGACATGGCGAGGACCCGGAAAGACCTTTGTAAGCCGGGCCTGCAACCCGCATTCCGAATGGACATCCCTGTGCTAGCTCCAGGACAGACGTGCACGCGGGGAACGCTCAGCCGTGGCTGCCTGCCCTGCGGCGTGGGCTCTGCCAGCTGTGGAGGGTGGGCTCAGTCCACATCCACCCTCCTGCCTGTCTTTATCGCGGAGCTGATCCTCTTTTGTCTCAGCCTTTCCCGATTCATGTTTTCTACCCTGGAAACAAGAAGACCGCAATTAGGCCCAGATGCGCAATGAGTGCGTTTTAAGGCGGTGGGAAGAGCTGGAGCCCCAAGGAAGCCCAGCAGCGGAGTGGCCGGGTGCCACATGGGAACCTCCGCTCCAAGTCAGAGCCTCTCTCCTCTGCCCGGTTACTGGCGGTACTGTGTCTCGCCCACCCTGCCCAGGGCAGAATCTGGCACCTGAGTCTCTTAAGTTGAGCGTCTTCCTTGGATGGCTCCTTGGGCACCTGGCTGGCCTCGGCAATCATGTCTCGAATTTTCTGCAGGCAATCTGCCAGATTCCGGAACTGGTAGCGGCTGCTCTCAGAGGTGAGTATCAGCTCTCCTGACCTGTTGATCTTATTTTTATGCTGCAAAGAACAAAGGTAAAACAGGAGTCCGACAGGGGAAAGGTTCAAAAGCCACTGAGGAGCTTCCAGAGAAAGAAAGGGGGGGGGTGGTTACCGTGATGGCGATCTTCTGCCGCACAGGCTCTGCAATCCAGTCGGCGGTTGCCAAGTGGAACCTGACTTCAGCCTTGGAATTCACTGTGGATGCAAGGAAGGTGGGAGTAAGGGCCCCAAGCTCTGGGGAAGCTCAGGACCTGGGCAACTGCTGACTGACCCCAAACAAGAGCTGGCCAGGCACCCCACCGTGGACCCTGCCCGTGTCAAAGCTGGGCACGGGATGAACCGTGTGGGCCTCTGTGCTCCTCCAGGCACACTGCTACTACCCAAGTCCCCCATTCAGCAGACGGCCTAGCGGTTACATTGCTGGACTCCCACATGACCAACTGTGGTCTGAGTCCCAGACCTAGCGGCTTAAAACTCACGCTGGGTGTCAATGCATGCATGCCCAAGATCCTGAGTGGAAATGAGGGAGAAGGGATTGTGGTGTGGCCATCCCCCCGGGGAGTGATTTCTCACTTTTTCTCTCTGTCTCTCCAGCAAGCACACACGCCCTATAGCAAAAATTTCTAAAAACAAAACACAAAACCCCCCGTTCAGACCCCGGCAACCAGTTGTGCAACCCCCATTCCAAATGGACAGGACAGTGCGGCAGAACAGACTTCTGGTAATGAGACGTCCAGCCCTCTTACAGCTTAGCCGGGCGCTGACCATGGGGGCTCCACGGGGGTGACGGAGCCTGTCCTTGGTGCTGGCTGCCAGCTCACACTGACTTCTCTGTCCAGACTCACGAGCCGACCCCGGCCCTAGCAGCCCACAGCGGAGAGGCTGAGAATCAGCCCACATTCCAAAGAATGAAGAGGATTATTGTACAGTGGCCTTATTTAAGTTCCTGCT